CTTCATGCAGCGGCGGGTAAGCCGCCACATGAGGAGGAAACGAGTCAAATTGGACTGAGTTCACAGCACAACACCCAAGAGAATTTCTGCCTCTACACAAAGTCCCACTTCTCTGGCTGTTTCAACAATTCATGAGAAGTATTTGTTCACTTTCACAATCCTGTAGCTGATTAAACAGAAGTACCATTCATGTCACCTGTTTGAGATTGTGACACAACAGGGCTTTAGGGAAAAGCCAAATGGAGATGAGAGGTATTTTTGTGTTTTCCCCATTGTTAGCGGCAAAGACATACACCTTTATTCACTGATACAATTTTCCAGTTTGTAAACTGAATGCGTGTGGGGCTTTTTGGTTTGTGGTAGGTCATAGATGCAGAGTTGTGAGACACTGGCTATGTGTGTGACTGTGTGCAGGAAGAGAAAGGTGTTGCTACTGTTTAGCACTTGTAAGTTGTACTCTACAACAAGTCTCTTGGTTGCTATCTGCATTTTCCGTGTTAAAATGTGAGAAAACTACAGCAAAAAAATCACAACCAGAAGTTCTTTTTGTGCCATTAGGGAGACGTAGAGACCTGCAGTAACGTCATAATAGTGTTTGATTTAAATAACATTTACTTTACAAAGTTGAGCTGCAGTTCGTTCTTTGTATTTTACTTGGCAACAAAGGTTATGATTGGTTGATTGAGGATCAATTTTTAAAATAACTACATTTTGCGAGTACATTTATGAGAAATATTTTGCAATGTTGATAATTAAACTTTACAACAGTACTACGTTGTGTTGCTTTGAGCATTTTTACTTTTGAGAGTTTAAATGCAGCAATGTACCATGATGAATGCAGGACTTGTAATATGAAGGTATTTAAGTAAAGGACCCAAACGGGAGCGGGTGACACAGTTTCACCACATTTTTGATACTTGGTACTATACGTGGGTACTGTAGATGCTAACCTGGACTAGCCTGCTCCTGTGAGGCTTTCCTCAGGATCTCTGTCTGCTTGGAGCTCAGTGCTTGGAGGCGCCCCAGCTCCTCTGTTAACTCTGTGTAGGCCAGAGCTAAATTCACCCTGGAGGAGGAAGAAGGGGGGAGGTAATTATGTAATTATCGCAGTCATTGTCATAACACAGTGTAGGTGGACTGTTAATGTATTACAAGAGATTATGCAAACAGTATAATCATTAAACTGTACACAATTAATAGAAGTTGATCAAAGGCTTTTTATGGCACAACAACAGAAGTACATCACAAACATACACCGATGTCTAGCTCCTCTTTAAACTGAATAAACTCTGCAGCCTCACAAATCAGGCTGGCTAACTGAGAGGCTTATGGGCTTATATTATTAGAGTGCAAGTCGCAGCACATGACTGAAGTGCATAAAATCGCACCATTTCATGCAAGATATGCCAGGACTCTCTCAGGGGCTGTACTGACAGAGCAACTCAATTTGCAGGGCTGTGAACAAGGACGGTTGGTTTACAGGCTTCTCACTTTTAACTGTGGCAACGAGCTGACTTTGTCTGATCTCATTAGCCTGAAAGTGATCTGAGTCCTGCATTATGCAAATTAATGTGAGGCAAGTATTATAAAAGTGGATATAAGAAATGATCTCTGAGCATGTTTTAGTAACCAGCCAGGTAATTCTGTATGTGGTTAAAAGCAGAGAGATTAGGCTGCAGACAAGTTCAGATGGAAAGAAGAAACTACAGTATTCAGCCACTGCTGATGCCAGTTGCCCTCAAATCTGATAAGAGACTGTTTACGTCAAATGTTTTGACCTGAAATTGATTCATTCCTGCACTGACAGTGGTAGATCGGAATATTTTACAAGATGACAGATGCGATAAGAAACCTGCGAAGATACAGCAATCAGTTCATCCTGCCATTTTGAGTAGTTTTTGCAAATTTGCAGCTATAAATAAAAACAGCATTTTCTTATCAATGCTTCGGCACTTCTACCCCAGACTTTAAACAAAGCATTTTAAGAGGGCTAAGGTGTTGAAGCCGTCTGTACTACCTATCACAGACTAACAGAATGATGCGGATGTTGTTGCACACAACTGCTGCCAGACTCGAATCTTTCAAAGCACTTCCGATAAACCAGTGACCTCTTTGTTGTTGAGAATTTGACAAGAGATTGTGGCAGATAAAAAAAAAATATATCCTGGGGATTTCTACATAAGTAGGAAGAGGTAGTAACTTCCACTGCAACACTAGCACACACCCAAAAAAACTATGTATCTTGCCTACATGGCAAATAGAACATACTGTCAAGTTAAAAATATGATCCCAACGCTCTCACACGCTAAATTAATTGGGCCTTCCCACTTATGTGTGTGCAAGCTTGCTACTTGGGTATCTATTAGAGGGAGAGCATATTTTTTGTGCTGCTGAACTACAGTCTCATTCTGCACCTCATTACACTGAACAAATATCTCAAAGATGTGCACTGGAAAACATGCTTGCCAACATAATGCTGTCTTCCTTCTTCTGCTTCAAGTTAAGCACCCCACAAAATTAGGTCAAGTAAAGTTAGGAACCCCATTTCCAGGAAGTTCACAATTTCATAAAAACTGAAAATAAGTCATAACTTCCACTGGTTTGCTGGCTCTGTATCTGGCCCACTTGGTTTTCCACCAAGTTGCTATGACTCAGAGTGGGGTACCAAATCCCCTTCATCCCCCAACTCATCGCACACAACATCCTTCTATGTGGTACAAGTACAAAAATGGTAATGAATCAGGGCAATCTGTGCTGAAAATGCACACCCACCCTGTGTGTGGTTGTGGATTAAAGCCTCCTGTAAACTTAAGTACATTTAATGCATCAGTAAGAACATAAAAGCCATTTAGGTTACTTACTGGCATGGTGGGTGGAGCGTGCAGCACAATCTTGAAAATGCCAATAAAATGCAATTTATCTGTTTCTTTTCTCGTCTGAGGTGACACTCAGCTCCATCTCCACACTGTCTTCTCTTTCTTCAGTGCAGGTGTACACTGAATATATTATTTAGATTCATGCAGCTCTTCCTTTTCACACGTGCGCATCACACTTTATCAAAGCACCCTGCTAAATTTAAAATTTCTCAGAGACCCATGTCAGACTGCAACACCTCTCGCTCATGGTGCCATGTAGTACAGCAGACGTGTGAACACCTGCAGATAAGCACACGTGGCGACAGGGAAAGTCTGTGAAATTAGATTGATTGTGTACACTATCTAAAAATACTCTGTTTCCAGTATGCATCTGTTCTTCTGTATTTATTTTTGTGTTTGCTTGTACATGCTTAACTTTTGTGCACATGCCTACAGTGTACAATACAATGCATAGGAGGGGTGTGATGATGTTGATGCTGCACTGATAAAAGATTCGTGCCAGTGAATTGATCAGGGACTAGAGCATATACAGGGTGTGTGTGTGTGTGTGTGTGTGTGTGTGCAGGAGATAAAGTGAAGAGAGTGTGGGCTGAAATCTGCCCTCTGATCTGATGAGAGGTTTCAAAGAGCCATCACCAACAGCTACCTGTGAGATCTGAGCTCAGATTAATAGTCAACGCTGTTTCTGAGACCGACTGATGTTCAGTCACTTACATTAAGGACATGGCGTCGAGGGAAAGCGAACACTTGAATACACAGTGGTTGGCGATATGTAGCAGCAGGAAATATTATTGCCAACACGTCACTGTGTGGTTTGTGTTTATGGAACAAACAAGATATTCATGTTGTTTACGGTAGAATAAATGGAGAAACTGACTTTTGGCCTTCGCTGCTTGCATCTGGCCTCGTGGGGGGGATAAGTGTTACACGACCATCAGACCATGGGGAGGGGCTTTTCACACTCTGCAGTCCATATTTTGTCATCAGGCCCTGCTTCTGCTGTGTGCGTGAAGCACTATCAGCCGAATGCAGAGAGGTGTCAAACTGTCCTCACACCAAGCCACCAATGACGTGATACCTAGTAACATAGTATATCTTATAATGTTACATGTGGTTTTTTTCAGTGCTAATTATCAATTTAAATCTAAAGATGGATTTCTAAATGCTGCACCTTGCTGTTCAGTTCATTCTAGGCAGAATTGTTTTTTCACAGTGTCGTGATTTCTTCTCATCTCCAGCAAGAAATGGGAATTCCACTTCAACTTAAAACCCTCAGGTTGTGATTTATTGGAAACCCTCTCACTTTCTGAAAGCTGAGGAGGCATTAGTCAGTCGCTCTGTCATGCCAAGTGGCTGCCAGCATCGAAGCTTGTGGTCGGTGATGATAGCTCATTCATGTAGTTATCAGTGAGACAACTGAAAACATACAAATGTTGTCACAAAAATACAGCAGCAAACTGAAATGATTCTTACAAAACAAACTGAAAAGATGAGAAGGTAAAGCATGATAGAAAAAAAGTAAATTTAGGGACAAACTGAAGATAAAACTATGTGTTCACAAATTCATACATTCAATTCCTGGTAGTTTCAGCACACTACAGAAGTTTTAAAAACATCACAGTGGAAGTCATTTGTTGATTAAAAACTAAGATTTGAAATAGCATTATTTCCCCTAACAAACTCCAGATGATAACCTGCTGATAATAACTAGAGCAAAGCTCCAAAACATGTCCAGAATCCTCCATATCAATATGTGCAGTTTACACTAAACAGGCCCAATTACAAGAAAAAGCACCAGGAAACAAAGTACAGGCATTCTTGGGTTTACATATAAGTGGGAGTAAGTAATATTGTTGAGTAAAACCAAAAGGTGATCGAGGTTTGGAAAAAAGCTGTAGGCTTCCACCACCACACACAGAAAGAAACTCAGCCTGTCAGTATTTTCAGTTTGCTCCCCATCGAAACACTTGTGGGGTTTCACTGTGTGGGAGTAGGCTGCCCGACCTGCTGTGGTTTTTACTTTTTTTTTTTTTTTTTTTACCTGTGATAAGTTGTAAACAGTTCTGATGAGGGTATGAATAAAAAGTTATTCCCTCCTCTGAAAGCCAATTAAACAGATTTCTTTTGTTGGCTTAAAGTGATGAGTGGAAATGAGTGGAAACACCACGGCCTCAACACCACTCACTACTGCTCTGATTCTGCTGGTTTCAGGTGTGGAGGATTAAAAGAAAGTGTAGACTTCATGTCTTCTGGAGATGCCCAGCACATGCAGACATGAGGGGACGGGCAGGAAGGTGTTCTACTCTGTGCTTACACTGCCCCCTGCTGCTCAGGCTGATCTCTTTCCAGACCTTGTTCAGTAAATGTAGAATAAATGTTACAGTTGTATGCATATAGTGTAGCAGAGTAGATATTACATGCAGCTGTCGTACCGCCCAGACTATAACATCCCTTTATTAATGCTCTGTTTGAGCCCGGTTAGCCAGCGAGGGAGAGCTCGACTGCTTTCTAATGAGGCCCCTGGAGGTCTGTCTGAGCACATCCCAGCGGGAGAGTAAAGACACACATTAGCACTGGTTTCTGGTGAAACATTCTTAGTTTTTTTTCTGTTGTTGCCACCACCCAGGGATCAGCTGTGGTCACTTACTGCTCATCTCCCACCTTCTTTATCCACTCCACATCACACTGCTTGCATGGAGAAGTCATTTCCTGCCGAAGTAGAGCATGAAATTAGATTAGCATGCAAGTGCTGGTAGAATGTGGGACAGAATCTGACAGCAAGCGCCTACTGAGACGATGTATTTGAAGGTAATGTTGTCGGAGAGGGTGGGTCTCTGAGGTAAAAACAGGTCCTACCTGATTATTCATCTATAACCTGTGGAACTGCGGGCCTTATTATAATTTTCTGTATGTAAGGTCTTAAAGAATCCCCAGTTTTAGCTTTATTTCTCCAATGAAGAGGTGCCACTGATTGAAAAAGTAGAGACTTTGTAGAATAAACATTGTAGAAGGACATGTCATCTGCCCATGTGGCATTTCAAACAAACTAACACTGACCCTCTGGCTGTTCTGCAGCTGCCTCATCTCCTCCTTCAGTCTCTCGCACTCCGCCTTCAGTTCTTCCTCTCGCTGACACGCCCCCTGGGCCTCGTGCCGCGCCCCCTCTAGCTCCGCCTCCAGACGCTGGAGCTTCAGGTCGGACAGGGCGTCCAGGCTGCGGGAGCTCTGAAGGGTCAAGGCTGGACAGTCCAGCACTGGGAGGAAGAAAGAAAATTCAGAGGAAAGCAATGTGAAATTGAAAAAAACGACACTGCATCTCTTCAATAGACTAATGCAGCATTTATTTGTCCAGGGTTGTTGTACAAAAGATGAATAAGAAAGAGCAAAAGAGCCGACTTCTTCCAAGGGCGGCATCTTTTGGTTTGTACCTAGGTGAAGTGATCTGCGTGGGCATCTTATGATTCAACTCTGCTCGCACAGACTCTGTCCTTGAGCCAGATGACACAGTCACAGCGCAGTGGCACCTTTTCTATCCCAGCTCCTCCTGCCTCCACACCAGTACACTATGTGCTGTCACAGGTGCACACATATACTGTATGCAGTCTGCACTCTAAGACATCTTCTCACCTTCACTCGCATTCATTCACAGTCAACAAGACTGTACACAACTAACCTGCACACTCTGACTCCTCACCTAGAAATGAATGAAGACATGCAGGAGTTTCATGCTTATAGCAGAAGGTTACTGTCTACACCCTCTTCATCTAGGTATGCCATGAGTAGAGGTATCTGTTGAGGTGGTGGTGACACATTTCTTCAGTACTTCTATCATCCACATCATTAAAAAGGACAAAGTAAGCTAGATAGTCTGTTATTGTCATTGCACATTCACCTATACAATGAAATTGAAAGTGCCTCATCTAAGGTGGTCTGAATAAAATCAAAATGAGTAAAAAGAGCAGTGAGTAAACCCTACTGAAGTATTTATGATGTCATAATGAAAATAAACATCAAATAGTAAAAGTATTTCACATGTTGGATATTATTGTATGCGTTCAACTTAATCTTTGGACATGTTATTTGGAAAAATATGGGGAGAAGTTGGAGAAATTAGTGGCTCGTGTGGAAGTTGAGTGTCGTGATAGTCCATAAATAAAAACTGTCAGTTTGTTTGTTGAACACCTATGGAGTCAGTGGCCAGTGGCCTGCGTTATTTGAAGTATCTTGAAACTTTCATCATAGATCTGATACAGGAATTAATTTGCATTGTAAAAAGTGAAACTATCTCACAGGTTTCCTAGCAGGTGGCAATACAGACTCATCACAATAGAGCTCACTCAGCAGTGCAGATGGAAGCAACAGGCTCAATAATCCAGATAAATACCAGTTACCAGTCACTCCAGTCCAAATGTTTCTGAAGCCAGAATGACTGAATTTCAATCACTAGCGCCCGCATAGATCACAGGTCTCTCATTCTGCAACTGTGACTGGGGAGCAGGAACAAGATGTCCAGGCTGGTTCTGTCCAACAGGCCGAGGATTACAGCGACCTCAGTTAAAATGCTTTGCGGCCAGATTGTTGCTTTTGATTAAAAGCCGAGAAACAGACGAGAGAAGAGCAGTGATTTAAAACAGCCGTGATTTCTGTCTAAGCTTTGTTAATGCACTTGTGGTTGATATAGAAATGTCTAGTTCGGCTTATGTAATGTTTATCCCTGATTCTGTACTTACATTCATGTTATAAAAATTTATATAAAGGCAAGAGAAGTTTGTGTATAGCATCTATCAAGCCAATTCAAAATGATTTAACAAAAATAAACAACCACAGGGCAATATAAAAGACACGCAGGAACAAGTGAACAGACATTTTGTAAAATGCTGTAGAGAGTGCTTTAAATTTCTGATATATTCTTGAGTAATTGTTGGCTGAATTTGTAATTGTCTTAATCTAAATCCATCACTACAGCAACAGATTAGTTTGACTAGTGTAAGCAGGTTACTGACTTTTAATTGTTCTTACTTGGCTCCAAAAACACTTCAGCTTTTCCTTTAACTGGAGACAGTTTTGGTTTATTCAGCCACTGATTTGTTTGGGACCATAGACATCAGGTGATACTGCATCATCCTGAGTGAGAACAGGAACTCACTGTGTGTGAATGGGCTGGCATGGAGCTGCAGGTACTGCACGTCTTTGCTGTGCAGCTGCATGTTGAGTTTCTGCAGAGAGTTGTCTCTCTGCCTCAGAGCTGACTCCAGGTTCAGGATACGCTCGACATGCTTCTCCACCAGGCTGGTCTGTAATCACACACATGTGCACAGGATTAAAATACAAGCCAAGGTTACCTTCTGCAGCTGTTACAGCTGAGATGGAACAAAATTAGCCTCTTGGTTTTTGTTGTAAATGTAGATGGAGCCATCTTAATGATTGTAGCTGCAACTTCAGGTGACACTGACAACAGCGTTGGCCCACTTTGTCCTTTAATCACTGGCCTGAGGCTGCTCAGTGGAGTTCACTCTCAAATGAGATGGTTTATTATCACAGCGGAGACTGAGGGAAGACCAGTCTGTTCAGCTGGAAGCCTCTACCTGGTCTGGATCAGCTTCACTCTCTAACCACTTACAAAAATGTGTACAGTTTGATACCTGACAATAAAATTACTTACAAAATAAAGCTAAAAACCAAGTTGCAGGACAAAGTCTCTTAAACAATTAAAATGTTCAGAAACAGCACGATGTGTGTACCCTCACAACTCCGTCGTGTGCATCTTGTGTTGGAGAAATTTCACTGAGCAACTCTAAGAGGACTCTTCTCTGTTCAAAGTAATGAAAACACTTTGTCAGAAAGCGGCTCCTCTGAAGGGAGCAGTGCAGCCTAAAGTACATACTCATAGTGATGCACAGCATTTTGTGAAGTGTCTCTCTTATTTGTACTAGCACTCTCTGAAATGATCAGAGGAACCAGAATACAAATACATCACTGCCCCCTCCATTTATCATGAAAGAAAGGACTTATGTTCTTACTCTGAATGAAGTTTCAGAAAGGCAGGGTCCTACATTTCCCATAATACAACGTGACAGTGTCTTTTATAAGACCCTGTCTAGTCGTTACCCATTTTGCCTTTCACATACAGAAGACTATTTTTTTTACCTCCTAACATATAAACAGAACTTCACGTGTAAAATCCGTGGCATGCCCCTAGTGCAAGGAAGTTGTCATCTTCTATCCTGAATGCCACCCCCCCAAGCCTGGGGAGTTGTTTAGGTGCTAATCTTGACCTTTGACCTTCCTATGAAGGAGAAGTTCTCTGGAAGAAAGACTATTCAGAGGACAAATACAATGTCAGAAAATAGGCAGAGCATCAATTAGCTTTCTTTGCTGCCTCATTGTAACAAGGACACATGCACTGTGTGTGCATGTGAGACGTATTTAATGACAACATAGTATCGACCATCTAGAATCAATAATGATGAGGGATGTTGATATAATACATCAGTAAAATGACAGTATACTTTATATACTTTGAAAACAGTTCTATGCTTTTGGATCTGTGTGCTTGGGACTAAAACTTTTTAACATAGTTTTGTCACATCCTGGCGTGAGGAGTTTGAAATACTATATGGATGTTGACCAAACAGATTCTGCTGATTTGTCAGATGTAGGATCTGACATTTTGGGATCTTAACCCCCATTGTTTCTCAAACAGTTGATCGTCAGCCGCAGTCGAGTTGTTAAGGAAGTGCAGCGCTGAATTGCTAGAGTACCCCTTTAACACACTGCTACAACCGCTGGCAGTCTCTCCACCACATGATGGATCCTGGCTGCAGGGGTTTGTTCCAAAGAGCATTAACAGTGTTAGTGATGAGTCCAGTTCATCCCAGAGGTGTTGGATGGGGCTGAGGTCAGAGCTCTGTGCAGACCAGCCAACTGCTGCCAAAATCATTATTTTATAGAGCTGGCTTTGCACACGGGGCTATTGTCATATTGAAACAGTGAGGGGGCGTCCCCAGGCTATTGCCAAGAGCCACAGCACTGTCTCCATTACCACTGTTAAGGGCTCAAACCACTAAAACGGTTCAAGACAAAAGTTTCTAAACACAGGTGTCCACATACTTTTGGCTGCATAGTGTATTTGCTGAATGTTCATTTCCTTAGTTTTATATTTTCTGTTCATCCCTGATCAGCAGAATGTGAAACGGGTAGAATTGTTAATATAGCTCCTGCATAACGCTACAGTGCAGTGAACTGAGTGATGTCTCTGACCATCTTGTCGAGGTCCCTCTGGAGGTTGCTCTTCTCCATGTGAATCTTCTCATAAGCCTGGATCACATCCTCCAGCTGCTCCTCTCTCTCCTTTCTCTTCTGGAGCTAAAGCAGAGACACAGAGAAAAAAGAAGCCAAGGCAAAAAAACTTAAATTCACATTTTCTCCTTGTTCGTCAGTTTTCAAACTTCATCACAAAGAATGAGGAAGACAAAAAAAAACTTTCATTGCACGAGTCATCAGATGTGTCTCTTTAGAAACTGTTGTGTAACCAAGCAAATTTGGGACAGCGAAATCCTGACACCTCAGCATGTACAGCAACGCCTCCCCCAGCTCGACAAGATGATAAATCATGATTTCAACAGTAATGTCCAGCATTAGTTAGAAAAAGAGCATCTTGCTGATTTATTATCCTCACAGTGGGATATAATGATGGTGAGAATGTTACAGGGCAGAAGGTAATACAAGCCAGGCGAGGATGCACAAGTGAGACTGTGGCCAGAGAATCAAAGGCAGTAAAAGAGCTGGTGAGGACAAGGTGGACTTTCACCGCCTTGTGCCGACGCACTGATGCCTATTCAGTGTGTCTTTGGTAACATATGCTGTAGAAAAGCGTCACCGAGGTGAGGACAGCTTGTCAACAGCATCGTGACTGCAGAGTGCACGGTTTACTCAGAGCTAGACTTCTGCAAGGACACGCACATGGAGTTGAGGCTTTAAAAAACTGTGTACATCCTAAAGCTGTTCTTATTATCACCTTTCTAAATGTTGGCTCTCTGGAAAATGTATGTGGGATTGTTGTGTTAAATGGCCACTTAGGTTCAAAACTGTGATTTTTGATCTGCTTTTCTGGAGTTTTTAGTGGAGTTTGTCTTTAGCAAGCACTTGATAGGACTGTGGTGTGGAGGGTGACTTTTCTCCAGTTTACATCTGCTGAAATGCATCAGAGAGAAGGGAAAGGTGGAAAGGGTCACTAATGCTGCACAATTTAAAGGATAATTTTAGATACAGCTTGTGTATTTTTGCTCGTTTACCTGTATTAGTTATGGATAATAAGGATAATCACCTTTATTTGGCCAAGTATGTTACACACACACACACACACACACAAGGAATTTGTTTCCGGTACAGAACCGATAGCTATGATGACTTTACATCCATCAAAGTATAACTAACCTCTGAGCACTGTGGCACTAGGTTTCCATAGAGATAAACAGCTAAACTACTGCAGAAGAAGTGATAAATGAAGGAAAACCACTAAAAAATAATGACAAAAATATGACATTTCTGTTTGTATAATGTATTAATGTGAGGGAGGAACGTGTGAGTCTCAGTGTCATAGCTGGACAAAAACCATTGCAACTGATAACATCCATTCATCCAATACCTATACCGCTTGTCCTAACACGGGTCACGGGGGTCTGGAGCCTATCCCAGCTGACATTGGGAGAGAGGCGGGGTCAACAGGTCGCCATTTATTTACTTTAAAATAAATAATGTACTGATCACCTTTGGTTTCTTTGACAAATAAAAATGACCTGAGTGTTAAAAACACATCCCATGAGTTTTGAACAAAGAAATAACACAGTGAAGTGTTAAAAATGAGACGCGCCGCTGCTACTTTCAACCACGGCTGCTCATTAGCTGGCGCAGCATCATGCTGCTTTATATTTGGATCTCATCAGGACGCCTGCATGTTGGGTCAGGTTAATTATCCTTACGTCTGTCATGGATTAGTTATGAGTTTCCTCAGGTTCACTTTGTATCTTTTTTTTTCTATAGAACAACACACGTACTGTGCATCTGATTTGGGGTATAGGCATCCGTGGGTCCCTGAGAAACCCTCTAAGCAAGGAGACCTCTAACTCCCACATTATAGAAATGAACTTTGTTGATTGTTTGTTCTGAGTCTCACTAGACCCTGTGGGCTGGAGAGACATTAGGCAGAGTAGCTTTAAGTGTTGTGCAGCCCCACTCCAGATTTTTTAATGTTGCTTCTTAGGATTTTGCACCCTGGTAGCTTTGGTTGTCATGTGCATCAGACATTGTGTGAGGACGAGCTGTAAATGTGCAGTTTTATCTGCTTTTTATATGAAAAACATTGACAGTAGTTTTGGCTTTATGCTTTAAATTCCTCTGCTGCTTTGCTGACAGAAAACATGTCAGTTCTCTTTACCTCTCCTTGATAAATCTCCGCTTTACCAAAAGAGAGACTGTGTGTGTGTGTGTGTGTGGTGGTGATGGTGTTTGGGGGGGTGTTTTTCCAAACAGAGCATACTCGGTTCAGTGAGCCGTGTCACGCTTCATCACTCTTGCACGGTGTCAGACCTGTGTCCCACACTAATCATTTCTGCTGCTCCCATAAACCATTTCCTTCCTCTCTAGCTCTTCACCACTGCCGCTACCGGTTTCACCACTGTCTTCCTGTGCCTGTTCTTTCTCTTTTCTGTTTCCCAGCGTTCTCATGCACAGCTAAAATAGTGGCGTTACAAGCGAAGCGAAGGAGTCATCTAACCATCTTACGGGCGCTGCCACTCTCGTCTCTCACTCCAGTCCATTTTTGGATGGGAGTAACACTATAGTAGAAAAGAAATACTACCCGTGTGTTGCATGCACACGTCTTGTTTCACACTTCTTGCTGTATGCGTTTTAAGTAATACCAATTCATTTCTGTTCCCTCAACAGACAGTGCAAGATGTGGCAGACAACCTGCTTTCTTGAGAAATACTTGGACAGGGTTTGTCTCAGTGCATCTCAGAAATAGAACACAAGCATGAAAATCCCATGACACAGTGCTCCCTGGACAGCTTCTTAAAAACACCCAGTTATTTTAGCTTGGACAGCAGCTTTAGTGCAAAATTGGTCCTGGACATTTTTCAGTGTATGTCCATCAGGACTGGCCTCAGTTTGCTTTTAATTCAATTAGTTCACATGCAGGGAGAGATTTCTGCAGAATTCAAGCACTGGGAGAAACTATTTGTTTAGTAAGGTTTTCTAATCTGTAGCTCAGTAAATGAAGGTATAGTGAGCTGGGTTCTTCTCTTGCTGCCTGTGCCTTCTCTCATATTTCCTTTCTCCCGCTCTCCCCAACTTCGCCGCTCCATCTTGTCCTCATCTTTCTTACCTCGTGGGTCAGGACGTTGACTCTCTGCTGCAGGTTGCCGTTTTCTGAGTGCAGCAGTGCCGTTTCCTTGCTCTCAAAAGAGCAGTAGGAGTTGGCGTCCTCCCCAAACTCACTGATCATAGGGAACTGCAGAAACAAGAAGACATCAAAGAACCATGAGCGCGGACATGGAATGACAAGGACGTGGTTAGGACAGAGTGTGGAGGGCGCTTTGTTTACTTACACTCTTTTCTCTGTGTTCTGCGAACTTGGCTGATTTCACACTGAAACCTTCTGTCTGGCCCAGATATCACTCAGAGGACCAGGGCGTTGAAACATCATGTTTCAGTTTTTATGTACTGAACTAGAGTTGACTTTTCATTGATCAGACTCAGCTCAGTTACTTTTCGTCCTTCACTCCATATTTCTTGACAAAACTATTGAGAATGATTCTTGCTTTTCTGCCTATCACAATATCTCAGACTCTGTTCATCACATTTTTACAGACCTTAGTTCAGTGAGGTGTCTCATTCCTCCACAGTGTCTTTTTCAAAATTACACTGTTTAGCCAAAATGTTTTCAGCAGTACATCCTGAAAATAGCTGAAGTGCTGTGGTTTGGATTTCCTCAGAAACTCAGAATGTTGTCTGACAGTGTCTCGGATGAACCAATTACGGCCTCCTTACTGTGTTTAAAATAGATTTAGATAATGGAGCCACTGCGCTGTAACACCTAGTTTAACCAGCATCAGTAAATTGCTCTTCCTCTCCCTTTTTCATTACACCTCAAAGCTCAGGCTAGTGATATTGTGCACTTTTGTCATTGGTCTCAAATCCTGTGAAAACACCAAAATCAACAGTGCACTGTCCATCTCTCATTACTCCATGACCCCCGACCCCGTCTGTGGCTCTCACTCCTAAGTCCTTTGGTTCAGGTGGAAATAATGACAGATATTTTACTTTGTTTTTAAAATAATAATAATAATTTGTATGCATTTATTTATTTAATGTTTTTTGTTTTTATCTGATGTGCAGCAGTTTAACTTATATTTAGAAAAGTGCTATATAAATAAAGATTGCTAAAAAAAAGGCTGAATAGTTTCCTAAAACAGTGGTGCACTGTATTTTTAGCAAACGTTACTCAAACAGGAGGCGCTAGTGCATTGTTCGGGGCCATTTCCAGTGGCAGATTACTATACATGTTGTTCCCTGGTGATTATTTACAGTAAGATCGAGTCAAAATTAACTACACTGGGCAGGTTCATGATAATGAAGGAACACTGCGGCTGGTTTATGTGTTTTGGGACAATAGTGGAACTCTATGGCACAGCAGAATAAAATCTATCAGGCACTGCATACACACAGTACTAGTTAGTACAGTGTGGAATCTGTTCATTGTTGGTTTTGGTCTTTTAATTTGTTGACAGGAGGAAAATTTTAACTATGACCAACTTTATCATCTAAGAAGTAACATGACCATCTTACTGCCACACTACGAGCCTTGATTCATGGTGGATACATATATTTACTGTTTTATAATAAATAATGCAGAGAAACTGGCAAACGGCAATGCAACAGAATAAAGCAATGCAACATGAAAGCTTTTAAATTCTGCAAAAAATCTGTTGCTGCAAATATCCTGAAATAACCTACACCTGTTTTCTTGTGCAGGAAGCCATTTGTCTTGTTACATTGTGTGGTTTGTTAGCAGGAGGCTGTGATAGAAACACACAGCGTGCAGTTCAGCCTAAGTGAGCACATTTACATTTAGAGTGACTAGCCTAAACACAGAGCTTTTCTTTTTCTGTGCAAAGTCACTGCTGCTCGTACAATGTCTATTTTGAGGAGCAAACAACTCTTTTCCATTAAGCAGAATACCTTTCTCTGCTCAGTTTAACAGTAAATGCTCACAACATGGGTGAATCCCCCCAGGGGGCCCGAGAGTCCTCACATTGCTGAGCATCAGGAGCAACCTGACTTCAGCCATTGCTCAGAGCTGCAGGAAGCATTTCCATCTGCATCGTTACAGCAGCTGTACTCCGGCATCCTGTGTTTAGAGAAAGCCTGGAACAACACTTATCACTCCACAACAAGGCTGAAAATACTAGAAGATTCTGCAGCTGGTCTTTTCCACATATTGATTCAGACATTTCAAAGTTAATATTATGATGTTCATATTGTCAACTCGACTCCAAACAGCCAACACCTGCACATGTCCTCCCAAAATTAGCACCTGTCTGGGAATAGGTCCTGAACAAACTGCCATTTGCAAGAAAGTCAGTGCCGTGGCAGCCTGTGGCCATCAGGAACAGCTGCTCACTAAAAGGGATGCAGGAGCTCTGCACTGACACACGTCAGGAAAGGAGAGACAGAGTCAGACTGCATTTCCATCCTCTCTGATTCTTGACTGTGAAACTGAAGTCGGAGAAACCTCTTGTGAAGGCCTCAGTCCTGGCCTTCACCATATGAGGACCTAGACCACCACCAGCCATGGACTTGGATGGGTAATTTATATTGGACATACACAACTGATCGATGAGCATGCATGTTTGAATGATTTTGTGTTTTTAATATGTTTACCTTTTCTTTTGAGTTACCGTTTTTCCAGGTCCATGGTTTTAATAAATCTGCAAAAATGTCATATGGCTGCAATATAACAAAGAGTGAAAAATTTAAGGGGGTCTGAATACTTTCTGTACCCACTGTATATGTTCCCCTGTGTGTATCATTTGCTAGGTCAGTTGGTTTTGTTGAGGTATTAGACAGTTTGGTTTGCTGTATTTTGAGTTTCCTTATCTTTTGTTGACCTCTTTTAGGGCCCAATTTATCTGATAATTTTGTATTTTTCTTACTTTTGGGTTAATAAAAAGCCCTTTATGTTGAACTTTGGAAGATGTGTCTTTTGCCTTACTGCTTGGTCCCTGACACCTCTAAATCCAATCAAACAGAACACCATCAAAATATGTGTTCTGTTCGGGTCCGTGGGGCCCGGATTCAATTTTCACCTTAAGAAAAAAAATATTTCTAAACATTTTTTGGGCTGAAATTTGAAGCCCTTGCCTCATTTTGTGTGAAGAACACAAATCTGAAGAAATTTTTGATGCAGGACCACCGCAGCCCCCCCGTGCATTACACAATGACCCGATCAGAAGGAGTGTGTAGTCGGATGTGACCAATGTGCCATGTTTACAACCTATTGGGTCTCCTTGTCAGTTATGAGGGTTATTTGCATGTTTTATGATCACCTTGAAAGTAGTAGAAGTGAGCAGAAGTGAAAAAATCTTATAGATGTGGATTTATGAATCCATAAATATTGTACGGGACAGGGAGACCAGTCCCCCCCTTGCGCAAATCAAAGCTTTGTGGAGCTAAAATGTGCACAAACATTAACATTGTAGAAGAGTCAGAATTACACTTTCTCTACCAACAGTGTCCCTGGTCAACCATGATGCAGCAACAGCTTGTGTCTTTTTCAAATCATCTTCCTCAGCATTTCCAATGCAGCCGCCTCTCTGGTAGCGTCTTGTCGTTTCAAGTCTTTGGTTCCCTCTCCGAGAAAAACAAATAAACTACTGGTGTACTCTCTCCAGCAAGGTAAACAGTACTCATCTACCTCTCGTAAAAGTGATAAGCTGAGAGGATTCATTGTCATGTAATTAGAGAACAGCACAGACTAATGATAATACGAAGAATATCCAGAAGTGGATGCTTTCTTTAATTAATCCTCCTTTGTTCTTAATATCACCATCCTTAGTCTCTGCTCAGTTGTCTGTGTCTCTGTGTCTCCTGTCACACCATTCCTTCAACTCTCATTCGCCCTGCCTTCCTCCTGTATCTCTGTCCGTGCAGTTACTGCTCGAGGTAGATTTCTGCTTCATCTGCTCTGTCATTCACCTGAAAAGTAATCTGGTTTCCACAACCACAAGCTACTTGTGAGCTTATCCAAAGATCAGTGAGGGCGCAATTTAGTAATGTCCCTCTTTAAGATGTAGAAACTGTGACAAAATGGGATCATGTGTGAGACACATGAGGCTCTAGCAGCAAAATGGTACCTGAAAGGAAAACTAGCCTAATAGGCCAACATTAGCTTTTACAGTATAGTGAAAACTTCATGGAAGTACTAAATAGAAAATGTGACATATCAAATCAACAGAACTGACTAACTGATATAATAAAAACAAAACAAACACTGGCCATGAAGTAATTTTAGCGGCATCTGGAGCAAGAATCCAGAGGGGGCAACTTGTACCTGATAGGGTTACAAGATTTCTTAAAACAAACATTTAATACTTCACCATTATAATACCCCTTAAACTGGGTTTATTTATATATGACCATGCTGTCCATACTGATTCGCCTTTTCAGTACAATCTTCTTAAAGGGGCATCTTCCACCATGTTACCCTACTACTATGGGTGTTAATATGGTGTGTGGTTACAGTAACAGACTACTCTTAGCTACATTTACTCATGTAAGCTGTTTGTTCAGTTTCAACAGACCCATTTATTTCCTCAGTTTCTATCAGGTCTCCTTACAAGTTATACAATATTTTTGCTTAAAATGAGTTAAAACTTCAGCATCCCTTTAAATGTAGCTAAATGAGTCCTTCATTTTGGAGCCATGTTTGTTCCCCAGCTGTTCCATGATCAAAGCCCAACGAAGCTTTTTCTCCCTTTTATCTTTGTAAAGGGGGTGGCTGTGGCTCATGAGGTAGGGCAGTCGTCTCCTGACCAGCAAGTTGGTGGTTCGACTCCCGGTCTCCCCGCATGCCTAAGTGTCCCTGAGCAAGACACTGAACCCCGAATTGCTCCTGGTGGCTTGACTAGCGCCGGTGCATGGCAGCTTGTCGTCATCAGTGTGTGAATGTTGTGTGTGAATGGGTGAATGGTGTATCATCTCTGTAAAGCGCTTTGGCCAGTGCAACACACTGTGAGAAAGCGCTATATAAAATACAGTCCATTTACCATTTACCATTTGTATATAATCTCACTGCCTCAATGAAAATGGAAAATGCTAAGGTGAGTGGACAGCTCGATCCCCCTTTGAAACACAATCTAGCCATGTGAGTACTGGAGACCTTCTGTCAAATACCAGCCAGGACAAAAGCCACTCTCACACTCAGATTTCTAAAATAATGTAATATTTGAATTTGCGATGCAGCTTCAAAGTGAAAACGCTTCACCTTGATCTCATAGATCTTCAGCTTCCTCTTGATACTGGTGTTCTCTCGCTCCAGGCAGGCCAGCCTCGTCTTGATGTCCTGATAGGCGGTGATAAGGGCAAAGTGGGAGGCTGAATAGACATCGTCACAGGGCAGAGTTGAGGAGCGCCACACCGCGCTGCCACAGCCATCCTCCTTCAGGCCGCCTGCGTCGCCGCCTCCTCCCAGCAGCCCCAGCTCCCCACTGCCAAACAGAGACTGCATCTCTGAGCCTCAGCCTGAGGACAGACAGTTATTCGCTTATTAATCATTAAATCACCTGAGTGTTACCATTCAATTAAATAACACCATTTGATAAGCCTGTCAGAGATGGACTTATCAAATGCACTAATACAGTCATCCTAAAAACACCACACGGGCTGCAAACAAAAGAAGAAGGCTTGTCTTTGACTTGTAAGTTTAAAGAAATAGGACGTGATGTTTTCATGTGCAGTCTCATTAACAGTATGATCCAAAACCTTGATCATGCAGGATACTGGTGTACATGTAATATTCAGTTTCTCGAGCTGATCCACATTTTCCTTTAAGCCACCGGACTCATTTCATGCCCATCATTTGCATTTTGGTAAGAGTGCTCCTATAGGTGCGTGAGCAACCTCATACTGGTATGTTAATCAGATCTGTTTTGCATATGAGTCTGGTTCATGCTCTTGTTCTATTTCACACTGCTTACAAAACTGTGACAGCCTACGCTCCTTGAGTGGCATGATGAACGAGCTGGGCCGGTAGCTGATTATGCTGCGTCACAGCCACCTGGCCTTGGCCTTCCTCCCCTGCCCGAAGACTCTGGGCGCTGCTGTCAAAAGTGATAAATAGCACCTGTGATGTCATGGCCCTCTGTTTGTGCAGCCAAAGGAGACGTGCACACAGACGTCGTAATAGATAGGCACACAAAGAACAGTTTGATTTACAGGTACAGCTAGTCGATTTGATGTATATGGGAATGGATGCCTTCCTGACTCCTAGCATTGCCTCGTGAGTCAGCGATTGCCTACTGGGCTATTTTCATCTGCTCCCTTCCTCCACAGTGCTATTTTCCTCATGTTTCAAGAGAGAATTGGGGAATAAAGCCTCTGCCATCTACGGTTCTTTTCCTCGCTGGTCAAACAGGATGATCCAGAAGCACTCCTACATACACAGACACACACAAACACAAGTCTGAGCATATTCAGCCAAAAACACCACAGGGGAACAGTTGCACAGCAAAAGAAATGAACATATGGACAAAACTGCCTGTTTGATCAAACAGGTGGCCCACACACGTCCTGTGCCAGGCTCCTGCCAGCTGCCTAAGATGTGTAGCATGTCAGGTCTGATGCAGTTTTACCTGTACTCGAATATCATACCTGTCCTGACTAGATTTTAAAAATGTTTCCAGTATGCTATAAAATGAGCAGAAAGAGGTGCTGCTGATAAAAGAGACTTATGGAAGCTGATGTTGAGGTGAGACTGTCCTCTGTAGAAAAACACCAGCTAGGGCGGTGGCTCTAATCAATGTGACTGTGAAAGGCTTCACCTGTAGTGATGAGCCAACAGTTATCACCTAACGCTGCAGCGCCCCTCGGCTCTACACAGCTTTATAGTGAATTTTTGTTTATCTGTCCAGCCTGCAAATGCTGTCAGAGCTGTTTTCAGATGCAGCAGGCAGCTGTTTTCACTGGCAGCTAGAGACTAGCTGGAGAACACAGTGGAGCATTTAGCAGCTAAAGAGTCTAAAAAGGGAGCTGGTGGAGGCTAAACAGAGCTAAAAGGAAAGTGAATCCTGGTGTAACAATTGGCAGGTGGACAGAAATACAACTTCAAATGAATGCTAACGTTACCAGTGGTGAAAGGGACACTCAGATTCTTTACTCAAGTAAAAGCAGCAATACCACAGTGTAAAAATACTCTGTTAAAAGTAAAAGTCCTGCATTTAAAGGTTATTTAATCACAAAAGTATTGGCATCAAAATATACACAAAGTACCAAAAGTAAAAGAACTCATTATACAGATTAGCACATCTCACACTGATATATATATATCATCTTCTTGGATTATAATTACTGGTGCATTATTATGTTCAATCCATTTAATGCTGCAGTTAGTAAAGTTGTTGCTAATTTTAACTACAGCGCCTTATTTGCTTTAAATTTGAAGTACTTCTAGGTAGCTTGTGAATTTCCCCCAGGTGCCAATAACATCTTATGATTATACTGCATTTTGGTTTATTAATCAGATTCTGAAAACTAACTAATAACCAAAGTTATTGAATGAAGGTAGTACACTAAAATGTAGTGAAGTCAAAGTAGGAAGTAGCAGAAAATGAAAATACTCACAGTACAGATGCTTCACAGCTGTTCTTAAGTACAGTACTTAGTAAATATACTTAGTTACTTTCCTCCTCTGAATGTTGCTACGTCTGTTCAAGAGGTGATAATATTTTGTTTTCAGATTGTTCTGCAGCCTCCGAGGCTGTGAAGAAAAAATTAAACACAGTTTCTCCCATTTCTGAAGCATTCGTGTTGCTTTGGTGAGGTGAAAGGCCCTCAGGTGGGGTGGTGAATTAAAAAGCCATCATTCATTTACCTCCAAACACCAACAGCCCAACACGTTCCTATTCTGAGCCATACTGCATCAGAAAATGGATATGGAAGGGCTAAGCCTTCACATCGTCCCACGTAGTGACCACATTTACATAAAAATCCTATAGAAACAGCATGCACCACCATCAACATTCAGGTTCGAAGACATAATTACCCATAAACCAAAAATCTGATAAAACTGCCATGTAGATGCTATGATTAGTCTAGAAGTACCAATTCACAGGCTGTATACCTGCAAGGACTCGTATAAACACTGGCTAGATTCAGCATAACAGAATCATTTGCTTAGAAAATATCTCCATCTTGACTAGCTACCAGCTGGCATGCTCCAGTGAAGAGGGTGCAGTCTAGCTTCCTACCGGACACAGTAAAGGACGGGGACAGAGGAACATCTATTTGGTCTGTCTTCCTCTCATTGGCAGCATAACACTGAGGCGTTTTTCACGCACACACATTCACTGAGCTGTGTCTAAGTTTCTCTCTCCTTCCCCAGTCACACACAATCCACTCTATCTCCTCCTCTATCTCAGGCCTCACTTGCTGAGGCTCTCATGGCCCCATTGGGCTGCAGATGTGTTGGCGGACATTGCACCCAACCAGCTCCTGATGCATTATGGCGATTACCACAAGAAGTCATACGTTACCTCTACTGAGACTGCCTGTCCCCTTCTCTTCCTCTCTCTTTGCCCTTGCTTCCCTTTCCTTTCTTTCTCTCCAGAGATGTAAGCTGTCCCCTCTCTCTGTGGCACCATGTACTGACCTGAAAGGGCCGAGCACTACTTCCGTAATAGGCAGACCGAGAGCAGTGAACTGAGTGGGTGACTCTGAGAAGCCTTTGTGTTCATTGCCTACATGTGGCGGCAATTTTACATGTAGGTCTCATGTTTGAAAAGCTCCCAGGGTCGATTTGTGGAAAAGGTCGGCCCTGCTGACATTTTCTTCCAGCACGTCTCAAGTCTGATTGAACGCTGTCCCGCTGATGTCAGGTCTACAGAAGGTTAAATAAAGAGCAGCATACAGTACAGTTAAATGTACTGCAGTTCCACCATAAGAGCACTTAATTGTGATTTCTAATACACAGAAAAATATTTAGCTAAACTATAAATTGTGCAAATGTGGCACTGTTATGCTGCTAAGGAGATTCTTCAGGAATTTAATTCCATCCGAGACCCAGATTCTGATGCATCTTGTCTTGAGATCAGAGTAGGTGAGGAAGGCCAAAAATGACGACAAATGGCCTTCGATAGCAGGTTGAAGGTTTCTCTTATTTAAGAACAGTGAAGGGGGGGGGACCTTGGTCTATCAAAATGCGTTTTTAAAAAACGGTTTGCATTCAGCATACTGGCAAACAGAAACTAGTTCACAGTGACAACCTACTGTAGCGAGCCTCCATGAACAGCAAAGACGGTCTGTTGGTCAGTCGGTGGGTCGGTCCACCACTTTGGTCCAGATACTACTAATACAGGAATTGTGATGATGTTTTGTACATATATTCATTGTGCCCATTGGCTGAATCCTAATGATGGTGACCCCCTGACCTCTCCTCTAGTTGAGTTCTGTTCTGGTATCGTGCAACCTCATAGCTCAAACGTCAGCTTCAAAGTGGCAATTCAACTTAAGGTAAACAAGTAAAGATGAAAACCAATTTCGACTGTGTAAATGCAGATTGTCAGTTTGAATGTACATCCGGTTCGTCCATAATTTAATTCTGAAAAAGAAACTTCTTCACCTATCAGCTGAAAGGAAAAACACAGAGTTTTGTCGAAGCAAGTGTAAATTAGCTTGGACTCAACAGGGGACACATCACTCTGCCTCTGTAAGAGAAGTCTCCTTATTTTCAGTATAAAGGAGAGAAAAAGAAGAGATGCAGATGAGTAAATAAATTCAAGGAATGAGCCAAATCCTGGTATATTGCACCTGTTTTCAGAAATTTTTAATATTGCTGGCTTCAACTTTTAAAGTAATTAGTCTTTTAAAGGAATGGCTTTTTGGCATTGGGACATCAGGTATACTCTAATCTTTTATAATGGTGGCATTTCTACGTGGCACAGTCATTATGGGGAGAGCTGTGCTGCTTGCACAATATTGGGTACATGATGAACGAGAAGGAGCTGTGACACAATGTTGGAAAATAAACTGAGTGGAAAAACAAGATTCTCAGGCTGCATCCATCGGTGATGGATTTTAAAAGTTGTTTTGCAGCTGAATGTTTATTTCTGGCTTAATTTATAACCGTGGTGAGTGTGAGGAACACTTATCTCTGGTTCACACTAGTCTACCAGGCTGCCAACTACATTTTCTCATTAATGTCATTAGTTACAAGATAAAACATAGAATTCCACTGCCTGTTTTACACAAACCAGTGCTTCTGTAAAACTGTGCTTGAGCTTTATGCTAATGTCAGCATGTTATCATGCTGACAATGACACTGACATACTGACATGTAGCAGGTACAGTGACTAAAGGGACATGCTTACAGCAATACAACCAGTAGTAGTGGAAACTGATCCTTGATTGAACATGAAATACAACAGCTGGATTACTCCAGTCTCTGCAGGAAATCCCACGATGCGTCAAAAAGAACGAGCCTGATCCATTTACAAACATTCATAACCCAGTCAAATTCCAGAGCTGGT